CTCTTCCCGACCCACTTTTTAAAGTCGTAACAACAATAACGTATCTATTTCTATTTAGTGTAATACCACAAGTAGGATCTGAAAAGAAAATTACACAAGTAGAATTTGAAAAGAAAAGAATAGGATATATGCATATATTATTTTTCGATAAATCATAGGCTCAAAAGAAGAGTGTATATAAGCATTAAAACAAAATATAATACTCCTACACGTTATTGAGAAATGATAAAACTTTGTTATAAAATTCAACATTGAGAAACTTATCGTTGAAAAATTTGCCACGAAAGTAGACCTTTTATTGACATTAAATTGAACTCGTTGAAAAAAAATATGTTTGGAATTTAGTAGACCAATTTTTTTGATATGATGTTTTACTAACCCAAGAAGCATCTCTAGTGGAAGTTTGATATACTGTGCACGGCTCAATATTTGTTCATAATTTTCATTTTTTTTTAAGTGGTATTAATTAAATAATATGAAATCATCTCTTTTTTTTGAGCGTAGAAGTCCGTGATTAAAATATTTTTCATCATCGATGTTGATTTTTTACTGATATTCAAAATAATAAAGCTATAACTAAAGATAGTTAAAGTGGGTTTCATAATTTCGGGAAAATGGCACAATAATTAAATTAAATAGAACAAAAGAAATATATTTTCAAAAAAATTCCCAAAAATGCCCTTGAAGCAGGCACGTCGACGGAGACATGCCTACTTCAATTTGAAACACTCTCCTATATAATAATAATAATAATAATAATAATAATAATATATATATATATATAATAATAATAATAATTATAGATTTACAATTAGGTTTTATTGCAATTTTATTAATTATATTCCTCCAAATCTTCCATGATCCTTTTTTTTTTCAATTTCAATTTCAATTTCAAAAGATAACATAGATTTAGTTTGTTGACTTTCAATTTGAACATATTTTCTTCTCTGTTAGGAACTAAATATTTCATTATTTTCTTTTGACTTTTGTGTTCGAATCATCATCATCAATAATATCTTTAGATATTTATGCATATTAATAATATGATAAACTCTCCCTTTTTTCTATTATTTGCTACTTGACTTCTTTATTATTGTATTTCCTTTTCTTACTGATTTTGATATGCTTCACTTGAGTCGAGGGTCTGTCAAAAACAACCTATCTACCTTCACAAACTCCGTATAGACCATCCTCTTCAGACTTCACTCATCGAATAATATTGAATATATTGTTATTATTGGGTAAACTCTTACTATTAGCTAATTACGCGTAAAGAAAGGGTAGCTAATCAAAGTTCATGTACTTTAGAAAAGGTTCAAATAGATTAATATTTAAACTTTAATTAAACCTAATTGGCTTAGTTTACTCTCTTAATCAATTAATTAATTAATTAACTAAAAAGTACCATTGTTAAAGCTTGTTTTGTTGACTAGTTAACTATATCCATGGGCCATGGTCAACTACAAATAGATGTGTTCTGTTTGACTCTATAGACTTAAAATTAGGTTTTATAGGGTTGAAATTTAACCTAAGATCACTACAAAGAAAAAAAAAATATAAATAAATAAAATGAGGACATTGAAAATTAAGAAATGTTAAATAAGTGGGCTTAGGTTGTTTGATTCAATTGAATAATTATGTCATGAAATTTTTAAATGTATAGTGGTACAAGTTGATTATAGAATACTAAGGTTTAAGAAAATTTAATAGGTGATGTCAAGTTCGAATAAAGGAGAAGGATAAAATAGATTTATAAATATCTTAAAAGAAATATAATTAATCAATTGAATCACAAATTGACGTAACATAAAATTTATCTAGGCTGAAAAGTGAAAAGTTCACACGCCCTTCAATTTATATCAACGAGTAAGATTTTTTTGTGCTTAATTCCTAACCATATTATTACAACAACGAATGAGTAAAACTTACGACATTTAATCAACCCCCTATCGCGAAATAGGCACAAGAAAAGATAATAAATTGAATCATCTTAAGAAATGAAACGGTCTTTCTGTAACTAGTTATTCATAATAGTAAATGAATTATTTCGTCTTTGATAAATTTACCGACTGAAATTGATATATATATATATATATAACTAATTTTTGACTAAGAACATAGTTGATAAATTAATTATTAGTAGCCGTAAAGTGATATGTATGTAGGAGGAGAAGCATTATTAGATAAAATAGAAAAAAATGTCATTATATTAGCACTAATGAATAGTATAATTAGTCTTGTTGGTGCTTTTGGCAACAAATATAAAAATAAAATGAATAAAAAGGAATGTTCCTGTTTGAACATTAATTAATTAATTAATTAATTTAATATATTGTTGAAAAATAGTACTATTTTGTTTTCATTTATTAAGGCAGCCATGTCCTGTTTATACTTGACAAACTTTTCTTCCACTAATTTTTACTATTCTTGATTAAATAAAATTAATTAATATATGATGAATTTTCATAAAAGAAACTATTCGACCTCTTTCATGAAAGGGCCTTAACGTGAAAATACTGGTTTATCTTTGCTTACATGAGCAAAAGAAAATCTCCCTTTTGCCTACGAGCATCATACGAAGAAAGGAGTATCGTACAACAAATTTAAAAGAGGATTAGACTTTCACCTTATTTTCAATATGTCGATTAATGAGAATCTATTCGGTTCGACAAAGACATTCAAATATAAAAAAAATACTTCAAGACGTACATGCTTACCTCAGTATATGCGTTAGTTACATTTACAATGAGAATTTATATAACAAACCCTAGTTAATTAACTTGTTTGAACTTGAAGTATAACACATAATTTGTAAATAACTTTTACACCGACAACTGATAAATCGAAAACTCATGAATATATTATTGGTTGAAACTAAAATAGAAAAGTGAAATATCATGCTTTCTTCCTGAAAAGGAAATTTCATTGGATCTGTCTATCATAAGATTTAAGAGAATATTATTACTATTAAGAAATTGACAAATCATTAATGGGTAATATAATTACAATTCCTTCCAATAAATATAATGCATATGTATTAATTTGATTGAAAGAGGAAAAAAAGATTTATTAATATAATCCTAAAGGACATGTCGTTTTTAATAGTCGTTGTATAAAAATATATTCAAAAGTGTTGATGAATCTTTCCTATTAATTTAACTTTGTAATAGTTTGCTTCACCATGTGACTTTTAATTTAACTTTGTAATAGTTTGCTTCATCATGTGACTTTTTCGATCGAAGAGATTCGAATGAACCCTCTTTTATCCTTTTAGTTTCATTTATAATCACGATATCATTATAGCGTAAAAATATGTACTTATATTGTAAGTATTAATTTTTTGACTTTTTTTTTAAAATTTTATCTATGGGGCACCATGACTCGAGGGCCATGGAGGCTATTAATCACGCTCTGGTCTAATGGCCATAAGTCATTCACCAGACTTGGTTTCCTGTCTCCTTAGATATCAAGGATACAGTGGTATGAGCCTATAGAACATATCTTGTTCAAGTAAGGTCGTTAATTTTTCGACTTGAACCTTACTCTTCCTTTTTTTTTTAAACTATAAAAGAAAAGGAAACTAAATGTCCCTCATAATTCTTCTAGATGGTGGATTTTGATTGAGCAAAGGGCATAAAGTTAGTTTAATGCACTAAACTCGTGTGTAGAATTCAAAAAAGAATCAAATTATAAAGATATACTATATATAGCCATAATCTGCAATTTCGTACGTTAAAAAAAAGGATATTGAACAAATTAAAAGGTTCCAAACTGTACATCAAACATTGGAATAACAAAAGAACAACGAATTTTGATTAAGAAAGAGCATAAAAAAGATGAGATTAGTTTAATGCATTAAACTCATGCGCGAAATTCAAAAAAAGAATCATATTACAAAGATATACTATGTATAGCTATACTCTGCATTTCCGCACATTAAAAAGGAAGATATTGAACAAATTAAAAGGTCCCAAAATTTACATCAAACATGGGAATAACAAAAAAGGAATCAAATCAAAACATAATAATTTAATTAACTAATAAGTCAACAACCTATGTTATAGACTTATAGGTGCTTTGCTTAGTGCAAAATGACACGATTAATCAATTAAACAACACTATATATGTGGAAATTAAATAGCTATCGTGTCAAATATATTCATAAAGTGTGCTAATTAATCCGTTAATCCATTATATCATCCTTTTGCTAAATCTTATCTGTAACATATAAGAAAACTATAATGTCTACTGAAAACGTAAAATTAATTTTTTTTTTCACCATAAAATATAGCAATTGCTATTTGCAAAGAAAAACACTATACATCTCCAATAAAACATGTAGGTTGTAAAAATTATGGATTTCATTCATTTTATAATAATTTTTATCCATTACTATATCTGTCGTGATTCCTATAGAAATTCACTTTCATCCAGAAAAAATTCGTAAATCTCTTGAATTAATCTTTTATGATCAATCGTAATTCTTACAAAATCTTCTTTCGTCTAAATTTTTTTCGTAAATCTCTTAAATTTGTATTTTTGCTCAATCGTGATACCTATAAAATCCTTTTTCATTAAGAGTAAAATTGTAAATCTCCTAAATCAGTATTTTATGCTAAAATACTAAAGTTAAAACGTCAAATAGTCCAATGACAGCTTGCTATATGGTGGGTAGTGGAAATCAATCCAAAAAAAAAATCTAAAATATTGATTCCTTTATATATTATATAGTGATTTAGTCAAACTCAAAAGGTGCAAAACGAGTTTAATTAAGTATATATAATAATATAATAATGCTTCAATTAAACTTTATAATAAAAAAATGGGAATTAATAATAAGTGTTTTCTTTATTTTCCTCACACTATATAAAGCACTTCCACTTCAGTAAATATATCTTCACTACACTTCTTTCTCTCTCTAAATATCTGTCTTTCTCTCTCTATAACACTGCAATTTTTGTTTCTATTTTTACAGCAGAAAAAAAAAACAAATAATTTTGATGGATAAATTAATTAATCAAGAAAGCAATATTGATGAAGAAAAAATGGAGCTTAGAAGAGGTCCATGGTCTGTTGAAGAAGATTTTGTTCTTATGAATTATATTTCTCATCACGGTGAAGGTCGTTGGAATTCACTCTCACGTTGTGCTGGTAAATAAATAATTATATTTAACGTATATGCAGTATCTCTATATATATATATTTAGTTACTTATAGCAACGTGTCACTTGCTACATGGTATTAGTTACTTGTAATTGAAAGAATAATACTATTCTCTTTGTCTCAATTTATCTATTTTATTTTTGTTTTAGTATGTCTTAAAACTAACGTATTTAATTAATAAACAGGTTTAAAGAGGACCGGAAAAAGCTGCAGACTAAGATGGCTTAACTACCTTCGACCAGATGTTCGACATGGAAATATTACACTTGAAGAACAACTCTTGATTCTTCAACTTCATTCTCGTTGGGGCAATAGGTATGTTCATTTAATTTGTTAATAGATGACGTAAAGAATTTTTACACTATTAAATTATATCATATAGATTAAAACATAAGGAATATCACCTTTTTATGAAAGATTGCTATAGTTATATTACAAGACAAGACAACTTGATAATGTAATATCTATTGATCATATAGTACTTTCCTATTCATCTAATAACGAGTTTATTATTCCCTTTTTTTTTGGTGCGTAGGTGGTCAAAAATCGCACAACATTTGCCAGGAAGAACAGATAACGAGATAAAAAATTACTGGAGAACCCGAGTCCAAAAACATGCTAAACAACTAAAATGTGATGTCAATAGCAAACAATTCCAAGACACATTACGTTATCTTTGGATTCCAAGACTAGTTGAGAGAATTCAAGCATCCAAAATTTCCAATAATAATTCTAGCAGCGAAGCTCAACAACCCGTTCTGAGAACGGGTATTACTGAGCTCGTGCCAATTCAACTGACGAACAACAACAATAATAGTATTTTAATCACGAGCGTTAAACCGGAGAATTCCAGCGTGGCAACTTCATCAGAAAACTCTAATCAAGATTATTATCAAGTTAATCAAAGTGATCAATTATGGTTTGAAGATTACCAAGCAATGGATCAACAAAATAATATAGAATTATGGATGGATAATGAAGATGTTTTCAACAATTTGTGCAACAATGAAGACATTTGGTCCTTATAAGAGCATTAAATTAAATTAACTCAACAACAGATCTTAGGTTTGAGCCTCCTTGGGTACAGAGTCACCTTTATTAGGGAACGCTTTACCTCGAACTTCTCAGCGCGAATCTGGATTTAGTCGGACTCCCGAAAAGAAAGTTTTAGTTTTGGCAATATTTTTAGAGTTATAATTAATAAGCATTAAACAAAGCATAGAACAATTTTATCTTCTTTTTTTGTGTGTGTGTCATTATTTGTAACATTGCAATTACAAGTAGATGGTAATAATTATATTGTTAACTTGTTTTCTTCAAGATTTTTATCGTCCTTCAAAGTTAATCGTACTCAACTTTCCAACACATTGATTATTTTTTTTCAATATTAAAAAATCGATAACATAGTTTAATTTTTTCATGACTTTTAACTAGAAGATCATAAAAACAGATAATTACAATTTACGATCCTAAATACTTCGACCAAATAGTTTACGAAATATATATATAATGTATTGGTTTTGACATATATTGTTTGAAATATTTTTGCTTTTTGCTTTTTTGAATTATGAGCAAATAGCTTACGTGTGAGAAGCAAATTAACAAAGTTCATGTACCTTAAACTTAAAAAGGTTCAATTAGATTTAACAATGTTTGTTAATTAGTTTAAAGAAACCTAGTTGGCTAGATTAATCTCTTAATTAATTAATTAGCTAATAAGAATTATTACTAGAAGCTTGCTTATTTGACTAGTTAACTCATAAACATGGTCAACTACAAATATGAGATGTCTTTGACTCTATAGAGTACTTAGGTTAATAGGGTTGAAAGTTGAAATCTTAAATCAATACAAATTAAAAAAATTAAGAAAAAAAATGAGGACATTAAGAAGTGTTAATTACATAGTGGCTTACGTTGCTAATTGAATTTATATGAATTCTTAAGTACAAGTTGATTAAAGAGTAATAATGCTTAGAGAATTTATGTTGTCACTTGTCACGATTCAAATTCATCATATAAAATATTATTTGTTTTGGCATAATGAGCCTTAGATAAAAAAAATTCTTAGGTTATGTTATTGTTGATGTTGAGCCTAAAAAATGTGTGTATATGTTAGTTCTTTTACGTGATCCGTCTTCCTTAATCTGTCCTTCATCATGATTATCACAAATATTTGAGTTCGAATTTAAAAAAAAAGAAGGAAAAGATAGGTTAACATATATTCGTAAAATTAAAGTAATATAATCACAAATTTATCTTCTAAGAGAAACTAATCTAAATAAATGGAAATAAATAAAAAATATAAAATTCATATAACTGAATTAATTTAAATGTAGATTAATTATTAGCAGCTAAAGTGACACGTGCAGGAGGATAAGCATTAGATTAAAATAGAAAAATGTCATTATATTAGCACTAATTAATAGTAATAATTAATTCTGTTGGTGCTTTGGCAACAACAACAAAAAAAGAGGGGAAACTAATCGACATTTTTCATGAAAGTGCCTTACACATGGAAATATTAGTTGATCCTTCTAACAAATGGGAATCATCTACTCCGATAGAGACGACAATGAAAATAAAGAAAGAATCAGAGGCAATGATGCCAATCAACTCGACAAAGACTTTTTAGCTATGAGAAAAGACAAAGAAAGAAAATACCTTATGACATATGTATTTACCTAATAAGTATATGTGTTAGTTATATTTACAACGAGGATTTATACAACAAATCCTAGCTACTTGTTTGAACTTGAAGTATAACTCATAGCTACAAAATATTTTTTACACCACCAAGTGATAAATCGAATATTCAAAGGTGCTACGTTGGTATATATTAAGATAGAAACCAAAAATAGAAAAGTGAAACTTAATGCTTTCTTCCCAAAAAGAAACAAGAAATTACATAATATTATTGTTAGGGATCGACAAATCATTAATGAAGAGTTTTGATTTGATTGATAGAAAAAAAGTGGAAAATGACAAATGTTGGTTTTAGGAGCATTTTAATATTTTAAAATTATGTTGAAGTGCTGTCTCCAATTCCATGGCTGTCTCCAATTCCATGGCTTCATACCTGTCAGAAATTAGACCTTTATACCTTAAAAAAATTACTCAGCATGGTGCATTACTTTTTTAGCCGTTGAATTTGGATTAATTGTCACACTTCATTGCTGATTAAGTTTGATGTGAACGTTGGCCATTTTTGTTGTCCGTTGTGGCTTTCTGGCAGAACGTGTGTGTAGTGGTCAACTATGACCATTACTTCCTCACTCTTTATTTCTATTTATTCTTCGTAATCTATGTAACTCCTAAAATCATTATCTTTACTATTTACTATTCTATTATCTTCCTATTCATTGCTAGGAAGACTTCTTTTAGTATAAATAGTGATGGTCTTCATTTGGTTTGTTATACACAACACATAAGAAAAATATAGAGTGAAAGAGTTAGTCAAAAAGAGAGTTCTTATTAGTTGAAGAGAGGTGTTCTTTTTTGTGGAGCTTTAGACTCAACTCTTGTCCAGAGTTGTTGAGTTGTACTTTGTGAAGGTTGTTGTATCTGTTGGGGTTATTTGCCCTGATTTCTTACCATAAATAAGTTTTCCTTTTAGGAAAAGGTTTTAATATTTTGATTAGTCCTTTTCTTGTAGGAAAGGTTTTAGGACTATATAAATATAGGCTTGTTCCTTCTAACTTAATTAGCATTCACAATGTAGTCCTAGGGTTTTGAGAGTTGTGGTTTTGGAGGAGAATTTTGTGTACCTCCTTGTATTCCGAGTGAATTGGTTGAGGTTGTTTCTCTCTATATTTTGTATTCTCATATTTATAGTGGATTGCTCATCTCCTTTGTGGACGTAGGTCGATTGACCGAACCACGTTAAATCTGTCTCTTTTGATGTGTTTCTCGTTTGTCTTCTTACTCGTGGTCTTTCAAGGTTTGCTTTGTTAACTTCCGCATTACACCTGCTTATTTCGGTCCTAACAAGTGGTATCATAGTCATGGTTCAATGATGGAACCATGTTAGAGAAGGGTGTTCAACTTGGTAGGTGTAGTTCTAGTCGCAACCTTTTTGACAGTAATGAAGATTTTGTTGGAGAAACTGTTTCAGAGAGGTTCTCTGTGTCGAGACGTAGATTTGATGGAGGAGATTATGGAGAAGAGATGCAAGATCCTAAAGATTATGTGAAGAATGTGGACAAATTTATTTTGTCAGAAATTCAGGCTAAGGGGGAGATTTGTTGGGGTTATTTGCCCTGATTTCTTACCATAAATAAGTTTTCCTTTTAGGAAAGGGTTTTAATATTTTGACTAGTCCTTTTCTTGTAGGAAAGGTTTTAGGACTCTATAAATATAGGTTTGTTCCTTCTAATTTAATTAGCATTCACAATGTAGTCCTAGGGTTTTGAGAGTTGCGGTTTTGGAGGAGAATTTTGTGTACCTCCTTGTTTTCTGAGTGAATTGGTTGAGGTTGTTTCTCTCTATATTTTGTACTCCATATTTATAATGGATTTATCATCTCCTTTGTGGACATAGGTCGATTGACCGAACCACGTTAAATCTGTCTCTTTTGATGTGTTTCTCGTTTGTCTTCTTACTCGTGGTCTTTCGAGGTTTGGTTTGCTAGCTTCCGCATTACACCTGCTTATTTCGGTCCTAACAGTATCCTGGTGGGGACAAGTCAAGAAGGACTACTGCTGGACCGGTGAAAACATTTGCTGCAGTGGGCTTGAATCTCCTTAAAGAGAACGAAATATCCGCGCCTCAGCCTGAAGAGATTTTTGTTTCTTCATTTTATTTTTCAATTGTAATCTTGCAATTTTATTATTTTGTAATTTTTCACTAACAACAAATATATCCCAAATTGACGTAAATGGTAAACAAATACCCTCCATCATATTTTTGGAACATTAGTGCCCCTGCCGTCCAAAAACTAGAGCATATATATTCTTAACTTAGTCACTTTTTGCTTTCACCTAAGAATATCGGAGGTGAACCTAGAACTTTTAGTTTATTAATTTTTGACTTGCGTTATACATCTATTACTATAAAAAGTTGCAATAAATTCAAGTTATGTATATTGATAAAGTATAATCAATGTATATTGTTTGGCAAATAATAAAAGAAAGTGATAGGATAATAACTTAGGATCGTAGTACAGTATAATTTTTTTTTATATTTCTTGTCTATTAAACGGTCCTTATAATTTTATATTATTAACTAAACACTCTTGATCATATTAATTCAAATCTAAAATTTAACTCATGAGACAATCAGAATTGCCTAAAACCACAAAAAGAGACATAACATCCATCCTCAACGATATGATATTCAACAGTACTGCACATCAAGAATTAGATATATAGAGCTTAGACAACATGATGAAATGGAAGTCTAATATTAAGTAAACGAATGAATTAAGATGAACCTGACTTAGTACTAATAGATTCCAATAACATAATAACTATAAGTAAATGAAATTCTTTTAATCTAACTTATTATGCGATAATTTTCACCGATATTATTAAACTATAAATCTTGATACGTGGATTATAAATAATAACTATAAGTAAATCAAATTCATTTAATCTAACTTATTATGCGATAATTTTCACCGATATTATTAAACTATAAATCTTGATACGTGGATTATAACATGTCTACATGAAATCAGAAAGTCAAAATTAATGTCAACTTGGCTACATAGTTGAATGAGTCCACTATGTAGAATGAAGGGAAATTAATTTATTATATAGTCATATAGTATATAGTCAAACCCAAAAGGTGCAAAACGAGTCGTATTATCACATACTATGTTTAAATTAAACTTTATAATAAAAAAATGGGAATTAAAAAATAGAATTATTATTTTTAATCATTCCCTCACACTATATATAAAGCTCCACAACTCCCTCTATCTCCAAAATACATCTATTCACAAAACTTATTTTGTCTTTCTCTCTCTCTATAAAACATTAGCAAAATCCAGCAATTTTTTTTATATTTTTATTTTATCAATCAATTTTGA